TGAAACCTGACTTTTTTGGCGTATCTGGGAAAATGAAAGAATTCAGGGCTGATTCCTCAGTTTGATGAATCCAGCCTCAAAATTTGAAGCCGTTCATTGCAAAACCTTAACATTTCCAAAATATTTTCTTTTTTTTATGTGGCTGGAACAATCCATTGAATTTCACACAGGTACTAGAATTGTTTTAGGTTGAGAGTTTATTCATGAGCACTAATTGCATGTGCCCAAGATGCCCTGTTTTCCTTCATTTCTTTATTAAAAACTTAATCCTGTACTGACTGAAATTAAGTCCTGTTGATTTCAGTGATCCAGGTGATCTGGGCTACAACCCCAATTCCACAGGGTTCTTACACCTATCCCTAAGCTGAAGTTTGTGAGTTGCCCCACTGATTTCTTTTGAGACTGCTCTCAAGCTTAAAATCAGGCACATAAATTTAAGTACAATGCTGAATCCACTGACAGCAGTGGAAAAATTTCTCCACACTGAATTCAGGCATCATTATACAGATCATACTTCCAATCGAGTGGAAATTTGCCCTAACGAAGCCCTAAGAGGACAGACTTTAAAGTTTTATTTTGGAGTTAAGTCACAGTAAAGAAAAATGTATATAATTTCCAACTGGAAAATAACTTTTATATAAAAATTAGTATTAGCATTTTTCTTAGCAAGAGCCTTACACCTAAGGACAATATAATACAGAAAAACAGAGCCCTGACAAATGAACTCACTTCTGGGAGCAAAAAATATGTTCACCTTATATTGAAACTGATAGATTGATTGGCTGGATATATGTATTTAGAATTTTGGATGGAATATAAGCCCCTATAGTTCAGGGAATAATCCAGCCTCTAATTAATGGGCAAGTAATTTCTGTATGGAAGTTTTATTTCATAACCACCTATACAGATTTTCTTTTTGCTTATTGGCAAGTATTTGGTATGGCTATCACTGCTGACAAGAGATGAGACTAGATATACACCACTCTTCTGATCAGTATGTTAGTTTCTATGTTCTTAGATGAATTAGCATGGAATAGCAGTCTCATATTTCAGTCTAATGTACATATTTAATATACAATATATTATTTTTGTATGTGAAACACTTATGTCCTTCTTACTTCAAAAGGCAGACAAGAATCTACTCAAACTTCAGGTTTATTTAGGTATAAATAATTTGCATAAAATTGCAAGGCTATACATCAATCTGACATGTATATTTAAGGAAATACTAACTTTTTTAAAATAATGGCTTTTTAATATGAATATAAGATGAAAATATGAGTTTGATATTACCTGGCTCTATTATTCTTCAATATGTTGCTAAGCTCTGTCATGACTTTCTGGTACTGGATTTTGTTTGCATACAGAATGGGAAGATCAGAACTTAAAGTTGTTCTTGGAGTCCATCAACCATCCATAGCTGAAAAAGAACAGCAGATATTTAAGGTTTTGAGGCACTGTTCCAATCCCCAGTTTAACTCTTCTTCCAAAGAAAACGACATAATGCTCCTTAAGGTATTCTGCTAATTGCTATTATACTATTACAAAAGCAATTTTCCAATGATCATTTTGGCTATGTGTCTGTATTAAAGGAAACATTACTTTAAAAGCTGAGCAGTGCCATGGGACATTCAGCTTCTGGCTTTGCTCTTCTAGACAAAGTTATAGGAGCACTGGCAGCCATTGGAATTGATACCCATTTTCTGCTCTGCAACTCCCTTTAACTCATTGAGTCCAGAACCACTTCAGAAATTCCTACTATTCTTTCTGTTGTATGTTTCAAAGTCTACTTGAGATACTTAACTGTTCAGTACTAGAGTTTATTGTGCAGTAAGCACACATGTCTATAAGTATGCATGCTGACTGTGCAGTAGAAAACCCTAATTGCAAGTAAATTTGATGCCCATGAATGCAGGTACAGGTACTCCTCACTTAATGTTGTCCTGGTTAACATGGTTCCATTATTACATCACTGATCTATTAGCGAACATACCCGTTTACAGTCGTGCAATGTTCAGTAATAACACTGTTTGGCTGCCTGCTAGTTGGTAACCACTGTGACATAATGAGATTCACTTAACATCATTTTGCTCAAAGTCGCATTTTTCTGAGAATGTAACTAGGATGTTGAGAAAGGAGTAGCTGTATCATATTTATTTACGATTAGTTACTGTGCAGTAATGCATGTATAGATGCAACCCAGGAGCAAAATTGCTCCCAGGTCAGCTCTGTCACTAGGGGGTTGACCTGAGGCTAGCCCAAGGGATTCTGGTTGGAAGCCTCTCCTGCCCCAGGGCTGGGCTGACTATGGCAGCCCCTGCTTCAGGCCCTTAAAAGCCTGCAGGCACTCAGAGCCCTGGGACACACAAGCAGGTATCCTGAGGGCACTCCCAGCCCCTGTGTCCCTGGGCAGGCGGCAGGATAGCCACACCATGGTGCCTGCACCCTGGCACTGCTGCCTGGCACCACAGTGCTGTGTGGTCAGTTGGGACCTAGCTTCATCCCCCGGACTCTTTCTGAGTCTCATGGGTTCTCATGCATGTGCAGACTGCTGCCTAGAAGCAGCCTGGTGGGGGTCTAGGTGCCTGGTGTAGGACTGTATAAGTCAGGGCAGGAGTAGGCAGGCAGAGTCTCCAGTGTTGAGAGGTGGGACCACCATGGCACCCAGTTGCAGGTCTAGCACCCCTGGCATGAAGGGGCCACTCTGCACCAGGGCTGGCATGGCAGAGTTCCTGACAATGCGGGTGTCATGGGTGCTGTCCACCCAACCAGCACTCAAGTGCGTGAAGGACCCATGGTAGTCCATGACAGCCTGTGCACCACAGAATGAAAGCCTGTTCAGCTGTAATAGGGGCAGTCTCTGTGGGGCAGGCAGGTGATGGGAATGTGGGTCCTGTCCAGGGTCCCCATGCACTGGGGGAATTCCAGGGCATGGAACACCCCTCCCCCCCACCAAGGGATCATGCATGTGGAGCACCGTGTCCCTCAGCACATCCCGGATGGCCTCCTGGTGGTGGCTTTGCCCATGTCAAACAGGTGGCTGATGTACCACAGGCTGGCAGATGTACCATATGACAAGCTTCAGCAGGGTGCGGGCCAGCTGGGTGTCTGTGGGAAGGGGTGGCCACATGTCAGTGTCCTGCTGCTCCAGGTGTCACTGGAGCTGCTCCAGGATATCCCAGAAGGTGGCTCAGGTCACCTTGAAGCCTCCAGTCACTACTTGTCATCTTGCAAGCTGCCACCAGTCCAGCCTGGCCCGGAGAGCCCAGAGGCAGCAGGGCTAGAGGCCTAGGAAGGCAATGGCAGCCCCAGTGGTGGCATTATGGAGCCCATCATTGGCATCCTTACCAGGGTCCAGTTAGGTGGACGGGGTTAAGATGGTAGGTGTGCTGCTGTGGCCTTGGGATGATGGGCAGGCAGGTGGTCGCTATGCATGGAGGAGCTGGGAAGGGTGAGATGGCTGTGGGCTGGGCAGCAGTCAGCACAGTGGGTCAGTAGGGCTGGTGCAGTGACTAGCAGGAGCCTGGGGCACTGATCGTTGATGCCAGGGCCATAACATGGGGAGGCAGAGGCAGCAGGAAGAGCAATGCTGCATGCTATCCCTGCGCTGTGCACACTGCTTCTGGCCAGGGAGGTGGCTGGCCAGAGAGTAGTGAGCGGGGCTGGCTTTTGAAGAGGGCTGCCAGATGTTGGCAGCTGCAGCCAGAGCCTGGAGCTCTCCCTGGTGGTGGTAGGGGCCCATTCCAGGGCCCTGGGAAGTGGGAGCAGATTTGCAGCAAATCTGCTCCTGCGTCCCTGCACATATAGCCACCTGCCTGGCCCCATTTACTCGCAAGTAATTTACTCATGAGTAAACTAGCGCTGCAGCAAATGCACATGTACATGTGCATTTGCTGCAGCGCTAGTTTACTCATGAGTAAACTAGCGCTGCAGCAAATGCACATGTACATGTGCATTTGCTGCAGCGCTAGTTTACTCATGAGTAAACTAGCGCTGCAGCAAATGCACATGTACATGTGCATTTGCTGCAGCGCTAGTTTACTCATGAGTAAACTAGCGCTGCAGCAAATGCACATGTACATGTGCCCACTGACACCATGGAGGCAAAGTAATCTGGACTGTATCTGTCATCCAAGTGACTATGCAAAAACAGGGAGATATTTTGGATGGGAGAAAAGTGAACTGTTGTCAGGACCTCTGTTGACAGTCAAAACTGACCAGTAAGATAGGATTGTAAGTGAATGATCCAAAGTGTCTGAAAAATACGTTATCCTAGAGCAGTGGTCATCAACCTTTTTAGGCTTATGGCACTTTTCCATACCTTTTCTAAATTTAGCAGCGCCCTTTTTTTTCCAGGAGGTGTATGTGGGGCTGGACTGGGAAGTAACTATGACAGGAGGGGGTACATGTAAACCTAATGAAGGAAAGAGAGGCATGTGGGGCAGTTTCATCTGGCTGCAGCAGTGGCAGTATTGGCAGTGCCACCACTGCAGCACCCCTAAAAGGGTTTTCTGGCACTCCAGTTGAAAAACACTGTCCTAGAGCAATGCTTATTTAGGCAAAACCTGAAATTACTCATGTGTTCATCAAAAAGTCATTTATATTAAAAGTCAAAACTGTGCTTGTAAAAATTGAGTATATATAGTATGTAAGGAAAATGATTGGCTTCTGAAATAAATGCAGTGTTATATGAAAAAAATATTAGTCGGGTAGTCACTAAGACTATTTAATCTTCAGATGCTATTAGCAATCTAGCATGGGAGTGATAGGTTTAGGAGATTTCAGGCAAATTAGTGAACAGAATCAGTCATCAGTTCAAAAGCAAAGGAACAAGCAATTAAATGGTGAATTTCATATACTGGTTTTTGAGAATTTCACAGACCAGATGCTTGTTGCTGGAAAAATACCATTCCTTCCTTGTGATCTGTAGTTGTCAACAGCTAACTTGCTCAACATTGACTTCAGCAGTAACATTATTCTTCCAGTTTTCACTATAGACCACCTTATGGCAGAGAGGAGTTAGCATATTTGTTTGATTTTCATTTGAAGGGCTCATACTGGTGATTTAAGAGCAAGCCTGGCATATAAAAGCCAGTGAATCATGTGAAACTTAAACAGTTTAAATACTTCTGAACCTTTCAGAGTTTAGAACAATGACTTGTAACCTGTTGCAGTTGTGGCAAACCTTTCACAGGAGGTTTGTCTACACGTGCATTTGATCTGGTACCAGTTTATTTGAGAGTAAGCTACTCATGAGTAAACACCCCTGGGGCAGGTGTCTACACATGCAAGGATGTGGGAACAAATTTGCTGCTCCTAGCAACAAAACTGCTCTCACTTATGTGGCTCTGCAATGGGTCCCTGCTGCCACCAGAGGGAGGTCAAGGCTCCAGCTGCTGCTGGCAGCCATTTTTTCAAGGCAACCCCACTCCCTATTCCCTGGCCAGCTGTTTTTCTGGCCAGGAGCAGTGTGCAGTGGCTCTCTCACCACAGCCTCTGCCTCTCTGTGCCTTGACAGCACTTCCTGTGCCTTGACAGCACTTGCTCCTGGCACTGATGCCCAGTGCCCTGGGCTCCTGCTGGCTATGGTGCTGGTCCTGTTGGCCCCAGAGGGCCCCTGCAACCAAGGCCCTGGGTGAGCTGCACACCCACTAGTGGGGGCCAAGCACTGGATGTGAGAAGACTGGTGGACCACTTCCTCCCGCACTCCCCACTGTAGCCCACCTGGACAACCATGCCCGGATCCTCCCACCCCTCCCCCCATCGCCAGCACCATGATCACTGTGGACAGTACACAGAAAAACACTTTATTGCCCCTCTCCCTCCCCAACAACAGAACTCATCCCTGCTCCCTCTTCAACACCAGAGCCCCTCCACCATCCACCCTATCCACTACCCACAAAACACCCTCTTCCCCGTGTGAACTATGTACAAGTGAAGTGCTGTGCTTGTGTGCATGCCCCCCCAGAGTGGGTGACTGTGGGATGGGGCACCTAGGGGGTGGAGCCTGGGGACAGGCGGCCAGGACCACAGCCTCTGGCTGTTCCCTCATGGGTACACATACCAAAGTGAGCCCAACAGGCAGGGGCTTGCCTATTGGCAACAGTGGCTGCTTCTCCCCCAGTACGGGTGGCTGCCCCTCTGGCAGCTCATGACCAGGGCCAGCAGGGGTGGTGTGCAGTCCTGGCGCCACTGTAGGCAGCTGCAGATCCATGCCTACATGAAGTCGGGGCAAGCAGTGGGCCTGGGCCCAGGCATGGGGGGCTGGGTGGTGGGGAACCCAAGACGAGGGCCAGGGCAGGGGCTCCTGGCTCATGGAGCTGCTGGACTTCTGCCTAGGCCCATGGGGGTGGGGCTGCTGCTGGGTGGTGGGTGGCTACCAGGGGGCAGGTGGGACTAGGGTTGGGGACTAAGCAGACAGTGGCACAAATGTGACCTCCAGGGCCAGGATGGTGTCCAGCACACAGTGGTTGTCTTCTGTGGCCTGAACTGCCCTGGCCACAGAGGCACCCTGCTCCTGCAAGACATCCACATGGTCCTGCTCCAGGGCCAGAAGCTGCACCCTGAATTCCTGGTGTGCCTGGTCCCATGTGCCCTCATAGGCCATGTTCTCCTCCTGCCCCCTGTCCTGGCAGGTGATGTCTTCCGCCCACCACCTGTCCTGCTGGGTGATGTCCTCTGCCTGCCACGTCCATGCATCCACATTCCATCCAGTCCTCTGAGGCTGTCACCATCCAGTCTAGGAGGAGAGTTCAGGATCCTCCTCCTGTGGAGCTGGCACATCTGCAGGGCCCCAGCCATGGGCATGGGTGACCCTGAGGCCATATGCTGGTTGCCAACTGCAGCCTTTACCCCGTGTGCAGCTGCAGGGCCTGTAGAGCCATGAGAAAGAGGCTGTTTGTGAGAGTCTGCAACATTTCTGAGATGAGATGCTCTGTACCAGGGACCTGTGCACTTCCAGGTTTCAGATCGGGTGTCAGGAATGCGCAGGTGCCCACGGACCATGGTAAGTTGTCCAGGCAGGTCTGGGCCCAGGCAGCTGCAGGATGAGCCTCCCATCCCCAATTGCTTCCCAGGGGCTGGTGGGCTGTTGGGTGCTGGCCGTAGGCAGCCTGCCTCCTCTTCTCCCTTCCTAGGCTGGGACAGGCCTGGTTCCTGGAAGCACCTGCTACCATGGCTCCAGACCCCACTTCCCCCTTCTTCCTCCTGCAGGCCAGCTAGTCTCCTGTGCTGCTGTCAAGTCCCCAGTGCCTGGGCTTGGAGGGCATGGGGCTCCCAGATGAATGTGAGATGGACCCTGCCCCTGCCCTCCCCACAGGAGGGCCTCTCTGGGGAAGTGCCCTGGGGCCAGTCCTCTGCCCCCACACCAGTGCTGTGCCCTGAGCATACCCCTGCTGCACATGTTCCAGGTGCTGCACTATAAGTTGTTTGTGAGGACTGAGGGGTGCCCAACCTACTATGCCACGCTACTACTGATGGTCATGGCACCCTGTGTACAACTGCACACCTGGCAAGGGGCCCTGAGCTTTGATGGTGCAGGGGGAAGACAGCCAGCAATGGTCTGCAGGGCTGGACAAGATGGGCCTGGCAGCTGTGTGGCACTGTGGTGGGCAGGCTGGCACAGGTAGCCTGTGGCCTGTGCAGCAGTGCAGAGGCCAAGAGTTCCCCCAGGTTCCCTCCTGGTGTGCCCCAGGGCTCAAAATACTTGCAGGCTTTTAAGGGGCCTGCAGCTGAGGCCTCCACAGAGGCAGCCCAGCCCTGAGGCAGGAGAGGCTCCCAGCCTCTGGTTCCTGGGGCTGAGCTCATGCTGGCCCTCTAGTGGCAGGGCTGACTGGGAGCAAATTTGCTCCCAGTTGTTGTCTACCTGTGTGCTACTGCACATTTATTACTGTGAATAAATTTGATACTTGCATTTGCAGGTAGAAAATTTACTTGTGAGTAGTGAAGTTTACTGCACAGTAAGCATGTGCACATGTAGACGTGCACACTTACTGTACAGTAAACTACACTAAATGGCATTAAAGCGTCTCATGTAGATGCACCCACGGAGACTAATTTTTCCTAATCTATGCCTCCTGTGTTGTCTCTGATCATTTGTAGATTTTTCTTTTCACTGTTATTCCTTTTCTCTGTTGCTACAGGACACACAGCATTATCATTATGAGGTTTTCAGTTGAGCAACTTCTAGACTAATTACTATATACCTAGCTCATTCATCTCCACTGCTGCAAAACTGGGATAGAATCTTTCTGAACTTTAACTGGTGTAACTGAGCTCAGTATCTGTTCCTAAGGAATGTGAAAAGAATGATTTATTAGAAAGAAAAAACATTTTAATAGAAATCTCAACAACTGCTTAAAATAAGTGACCATTTTTTTTTACCTATCTGTATGGCACTGATCATTTTCCTCCTGTTTTTTTCACTCCCCCAGTTAAATGGTAGTGCAAATGTAAATCAATATGTGGCTCTTTTGCCCCTACCTTCATGTGATGAAGATATCAAAGCTGGAACAAAGTGCCAGGTGGCAGGCTGGGGACTCACATCTTCAGGGAAGCCCTCAAAGTATCTTAAGGAAGCAACTGTTAAAGTCATCAATAGGAAAACCTGCAGCAGAAACTATAAAAAACAAATAAAAATAACCAACAACATGTTGTGTGCTGGGTGGAATAATGCATTTTCAAAGAGTGATGCCTGTCAGGTGAGTGGTGAATTTGCAAGGTAGAGTGGAGATATTTTTAACAGCTTGTTTCTTTTTTACTCTAAATGACATAAAAGAGCACCTTACAATGGGTCTCTCTCAGAGTGTGTGCTTTTAACCATATTTACAATGGATTTTATTGTTTCCTACTCTGAGTTGGAGGTATTAAAATCACAGCTAAATCAATGTAAGAATGTAGTGCTTCTTTCTGCCACTATTTCTTGCTGTGACAAAATGGGCTCTGAATAATACCTGGAAGACTATCAAAAACCATAGAGGAATAATTAGGAACTTTCCACTTTACCAGAAATATAAAGGAGCCATGGAAGGATGAGAAAGTAGTCATCTCCACAAACATTCAGATGCCTTTTATGTGTGAAGGCATCCAATAATTCACTGATATTTTTGCTAAAGACATGAGAATCAAAGTTCCTAGCAAAACACCATCTTTATTCCTGTTATGAACATTGTGATATATCATATTTTCCCACATAGAACATGTTGAGTCTTTGAGGAGCTGAGCTACCTCAGGTTCATTTGGATCTGGACTTATGAGGTGAAGGATGCACGTACGTGTAACGGTTTGAACAGAGAATGAATTTATTGACTTGCGTCCCTTGGTTGATGGAGACGCAGGTTGTATTTGAACTTGACAACACAGCGTAACGGTTACAATGGCTTGCAAGCTGAAACGGTTGATAGCGGGGGTGGGATTTTACACCAAGGGGGAGCGGTGGTGGGAGACAGCGGCGAGCAGAAAGAGCAATGGTTGATCAGGCCGGTGCATACAACTTAACAGTTAGTCAGTTCTCGAAGCTTCTCCCCGAGCCTCGATGGGAGGAGGCCTTTACACAGGGAGTGACGCGGTTTAGCCAATCATGTTCAGCCGTTCGGCCCTCATGTCATTACCTTATTTGGCACAGACACACTTACTGAGGCAAGTGCCTCTCTGAGGTAACTGTTGCTATGAGGTTACTATGGGGGTCAGGGAGGTGCATGAGGCACAGAGCCAGCTTTTCAGCATGTCAGAACATATCCTGAAATATAATATGCACTTTATTTTTGAAAGGCAGAATGAACAAAATATTTTTTCCAGAGTTATGGCTGCACAGAGCAAGGATAGAGCCTAATTTTCAGCTGACTCACCCTCCCTTTCTGGCTTAACTAATGTTGAAACCCTAGCTACTGCTGAAGACTAATCTCCTTGGGTAGATTTATGGGTGGATTTTGGAGAGAGCTAAAGAGTCTCCAGGACTGTGAAACAGGAGGAGAGAAACCAGGCTTGGTTAGTAGACAGAAAAATTCCCCTAGGAAAAGTTAGCTTGATTAGCAGAGCATCAAAACAATTACAAAGAAGAGATGATTGCTAACTCATGTGGAGTGAAGAACAATGACCTATTAGTCAACTGACTCCCTTAGTTGCTTGAATAGCAGTACAATAGCTGTAGAGCAGGAATCAAAGGTGCTTCTATCCCAAACTGCTTCTATCACAGGGTACTTTTATCCCAGGCAGAAAATAAGCTTTTCCCACTTAATGCATGCATCTCAGTTGGGGGAAAATTGATTTTGGGGGAAAAGGTGTGTTGTATGTGAGAAAATATGGTCCTTCTTCTGGTAACAGTTATCACACAATATCTGCTCCATATGTATTTGGATAGTATTAGGATTTAATGGGCCTCAGGTACTCCTATACAACTCAAGTAAGCTATAACTAATTTAAATAGGCAATACTTATTTATACAAAACTAGGAAGGATGAGAAATAGGAAAGCAAATGTGCAGTAAATAATAAGTACCAGCCATCTGAAATATGCCACATTAAAGATCAAAAATATTATTTAAGACAGATTAACTACATAGTTTAGTAATGCCTTTAATCAAAGAGCCTCCCAAATAGTTAATTATTTAGCCGCAGACTCCCACTGTGAAACTGAGGGCACTTCTACATGTGCACTTAATGTGACTGAATACACTGAATATACACTGGCTCAATTTAAATAAACTAATCCTGACATCACTGTCTACACATGTGTTTAAGCACAATAGTTCACTGCTGCTAGATATCACATGTATCTGATGGGACTATCTGGCAGTGTAGAAAATTAGTTTACTGCACCTTAATTGCTGTGCACGTGTAGACTGTGACGCTTTACTGTGCAGCAAATTCTTCTGCTGCACAGTAAAGTGTCTTATATAGATGTACCCAGCCATGTGTTAATAGAATCATTTCACAGACAGGACTATCCAGGGGCTAGCGTTCCCCAAAGTGTTTACCAGGGAACCTGGTTTTCTCTGTTTAAAATTGGCAAAATCTCTTATTTAAAAAATAAATAAACCATGAATTCTCTGATTTAAAAAAAACCCAAATCCACAATTTTCTGTGATTTTAAAATGAAACACCACTATATAGGTATCAGTGGAACACAATGTTTTATTGATATACTTACAATTTTAAAGCAATTTGGAAACCTACCGGGGGTTCAATCACTACAATAAAATAAATTCTAAATACCTATAAATCTTGGTATTTGATTTGGGGTTTTTTTTTTATCATGGAAAATCAGAGCTCTCTCTGCCCCCTTTACTCATCGGGACATGGGTCCAGCTGTTGTTGTCCCCCCCTGCTGCTTTGTGGTGCACAGCAGTCCTGATATGCCAGTGACCTGCCCATGCCATTGTCCCTCACTCCCAAGCCACAGCCCCCCAGCCCTGCTGGTGCCCCTAACTGCCCACCTACAGCCCCCTGGCCTTGCCAGTGCACCTCACTCCCCACCCACAGCCTTCTGGGCCCTGCTGGTGCCCCTCATTCCTGACCAAAGTCCCCCCCCCCTTGCTGGTGCTTCTCACTCCCCAGCCCTGCCAGAAGGGCCAGGGCTATGGAGCCAGGGTCCTGGGTCTGCACCCCCCTGAACCCTCAGCAGACCCAGCTGCCACCTGCAGGAGGTGGCGGCTGCTGCAGTGGAGCATAGCATGGGGCCTGGCTCCCCCTCCCCCTGGGCAGTATGCCTGGAGCAGAACCTGTAGAGGGGCAGGGGTGCAGATGTGGGATGAAGGCTGTGGGAGCAGGGCTTCCTGACCTGCTGCCCTTTCACTCAGGGTCTCTGGAGCCCAGCTGGTGGGACCCAGCGCAGCAGGGTAGAGCAGGGTGGGGAGGTTTGTGCTGCTGCTGGGACCCCCGCAGCTCTATGGTGAGGCAACCCCTGCCTTCCTGGCAGCAGCAGGGGGATCAACTCCACATCACCCCCCTTGCTGCTGCTGCTGGCACGAGCCTCCCCACCCAGGTCCACTTTGCCCTGCTGTGCTGGGTCCCACCTGCTGGGCTGCAGAGGCCCTGGAGGGAGGGCAGCAGGGTGGGGAGCCCAGTGCCTTCAGTGGGCAGCCTGCATCCATCCCCACCCAGTGCACAAATCTGGGGGGCATGTGCCCCCCATTCCCCCCACCCCAAGAGTGCACACAGTGGCGGGAGTCCCCTTGCTGCCCCCCAGATGAGCCACCCATGGCTCAGTCCCACTTCTTCTGAGCCCTTCAGCTGCACATGACCCCAGGCTGCAAGCGCCAAGCAGCTCCCCAGCTGGGTGGCAGCATCCCCAGCCCCAGTTCCAGCCCTGCCCAGTTCCCTCCCTCACTACGGGGGCTTCATTCCCTCCCCCCAGCTTACCTGCAGGGAGCTGCAGGACCTGCTCTCTAGGCTGCCTGGCTGTCATGTACATGTGTGCCCCACACCTGACCACCCTCCTCCTGCTCCCCCCAGTTGCTTGCATGCTGGATCTCTGCTGGCCTGCAAGGGGAAACCTGTCTTTTCTCATGTTTTACTCCTTAAAGGAGGAAATCCAGGATTTTTCCTCCTTAAAATAAGAAAAATTGGGTTTTTCTCCTTAAAATGAAAAAATCTGGGTTTTACTATATTTTTCCATGGTGAATAGAAAACTTGGATCCTGGTGTTCACTCATTTGTAGCTGCCCAATTTTTGGGTGCTTATTTTGAGATTTTTAGGCACATACTATTAACACTGTATTTTATATTTTAGGGAGATTCAGGTGGGCCACTAATATGTTCTGGTAAGTACAGTGGAATCATTTCTTTTGGAAAAGGTTGTGGAAAAATGTGCAAACCTGGAGTTTATACACGACTGACAGAAAAATACCTTCACTGGATAAAGAAAATAATTGACAACTACTGAGAGCAATGGTGATCAGTTCTCACTTGCCAGTGACAGAGGCATTCACTTCAGTAACTGTCAATGAGCAAAACAATATTATGAGCACAACAAGTTATTTTGCATATTATTAATGCATTTCAATGTGTATGATGGTGAATCCTGTATAATACACTTTTTTTGGGCATCTCCTCTGATAAGAGGGCATCTCAAAATATCCCCAACCAGGCAGATCATAAACCTTTTCATCCCGTTTAGCAGACCACCTCTTTTATGCCTCTGTTTTTTGTCAGACTTCACCATGTTTTAAATGTTAACATTTTTTTAAAGTTAAGAAAACTCTTTAAACTTTAAAATTTGAAGCATGATGGCAGGATACTACTCACCATAGTCATCATGATTAGGGCTGGGGATTTTTTTGTGAATAGTTAATTTTTGAGAAATAGTTTATTCATCAAAATATGAACTTTCTGACTGATGGGAACTATTTGTTGAATAGATCCCATAAACATTTTCTCAGGGAAATCATTGAGACATATAATTTTGAAAAATTAAAAGTTCACTTTTGACCTGCTCCAAAATGAAATAGTTCAACTTATTTCAAAATATTTCATTTAAAAATAAAATTAAACTTATTTTAAAGGGTTAAAATATGAGAAAATCAACAAAAAATTCATTTCAGGTTGAATTGTGTTCAATTAACTTTTTTTTTCATTTTAGCAAGGAAAAAAATGTTGTTATAGGTCCACCCTAAATTATCCCCTCCACTCCCAATCTTTTTGGTTCAGGCCCCCGATTTAATAGATCAATTTTTCACACAATGCTAATTAGAACAATATTTTAATGCCTGAAATGCTGAAAAAAGAAGGAACATTCGTGTGCAAAAAGCAATTTTACTTTAAGTAAAAAAAAAAAAAAAAAGAAGTAATTTTACTTCTTTACCCTAATCAAACTTCCATCAAAGTGGCTGGGAGTTCATGAAAGTGGATCACCCAGAAAACCTGTCAACCTTCTAAGAATGGCCATATAGATAGCTGGGCATGTATCCATTGACTTTAGTCCTTTTTTATCAGTATTTTGGGAGAAGGATGAGTTCATATTCTTGATATGAAGAGTCTTATGGTTGTTTGATTGCTCTGCTCATGGGCAGAATTTTTGTCTTGGATGTTACAATTTTAAGATTTATAAAGTACCCCTAGATTGGTACTTTACCAGATAGGTAAGACATAAAATAAATATAAATAAATCATTGTTTGTGAGATTTATACAGATCTTGGTTCTGACCAGAAGTTGTGTGAGAGGAGACTTGATGGTGGAAATGTCAAAGCTGTGTTAACAGTCTGTCACATGGTGAAGCAAAATGCAAGCTCAAGGAGACAAGCCTCATTTTTCACTGATGGCAAATTGAAAGACTCTCACAGATCTCAATGCATTGGCTCAGGCCTAGAATGGAGACAGCATTAAGATGAAATATATATTTAAAACAACAAATAATAATACTCAGTTGTAAAACCTGTCTTTGGAAGATCTCTTTCTTCATTGGAAAAGAGTCCAGCACAGAGTGACAAAAATGATTAGGGGCCTGAGAGGCAAGATTTAGGAGGAAAGGCTATTTGGTTTGGAGAAGAAAAGGCTTTGGTGGGGGGGAGCGTGGATTTGAAAACAGTTTTCAAATACCTGAAGGGTGACTATAGAAAGGATGGAGATGGAGTTTTCTGTGCAGCCATAAGAGACAGAACTAGAAGCAAGGGCCTCAAAGTACAGCAAAGGAAATTTAAGTTGGCAACTAGGGTGAGTAAGAGGGTGGTCAAGCACCGGAACAGGCGACCTAGACAAGCTGTGGAGTCTCCAACCCTCGACATTTTCAAGAGCAGGTTGGACAGGCGTTTGGTTGGGATGGTTTAGTCAGCGTTAATCCTGCCTTGAGCAGGACACTGGACTAGAAGACTTTATGAAGTTCCTGCCACCGCTAACTGCCTATGATTTTACAACACAATAACAAATAGGAACTAAGTCTCCTGGAAACTCTGTGAAGTGGGTAAAAGATGTGTTGTTTATTTGCCCACCACCCTGGGTGGATCTGGGAACTGGACAAGAGGGAGATGCCACCAGCAAAGCAGGGGTGGTTTCATCCCACTTCTCCCTCTTTTCCTCCTCCACCCCTTTCTCCTGGTGGACAGATTATGCTGAAGTAAGGCAGAAGGGCTTTATTTTACGCTACCAAAATCACTAGTACTATGCCACTGGTTTCAATCAGTGTGGAGTCAGCCCCAAAGGACATAGACCAGACACTGCAAAAAAAAGTCTGAGAACTTGTGCAGCTTGTCACCAGCTGGGCCTCATTTGTAGGGCACAATGATAATTTTCAAAATGTCTGTGTTCCAAAGTGTGCTGTGGGAGAAGCATTATCACTTAACTGGCTGATGGTCTGCTTTCCACTTGAAAATACTATGGTGACATTCATGCTATAAATGCCTACATGTTGTAGAGATAAACATATCAAGTTCCCAAACAGCCAAACACAACTGTTTGTATCCACTACTCATGTCTTGGCAAAAGAGCATTGGTACAAGTTTTGTGGTTTCAAATTGTATCTTCAACAGGGATGTCAGGCTTTGGAAAATGTAGGCTTTTGTGCTGTAAATATACAGAGCTGGGAGTGCAGCCCAGTTGAGAGATGGAGAGCGGGTGTTTATTTCAGCACAACGCTGTTGGATGTAGCTTATGGCAGAATCTTCTGGTTTGCGTAGAACAATCAAAAAGCCCCCTGTGCAGTGGTGATTTTGGTTTACTAGGGACATGGCCTTAATCCACAAGAGGTAAGGTCTTAAAATCTACTATTCTGCAGACAATAAAGCTCTTTCTTCTGAGCAGAAGCAGCAATTCCAGAAATTCAGGTTATTTCTTGGCGGGATTTTGGTATCCTTGTATTTAGCATTACAATCCTTAAGCTAATTAAGAATAGCAGGCTTATAATTCACACAGTAGCAATGGTGGGAACCAAACAGAAATAACTAGGTTTAAGAAGGAACAGGAAAAGGTAACAGCAAAACCATGAAGAAAGTCATATTTAAAAAATGGAGCCACCAGAGTGTTAGCATGCAATATTCTCTTTCTCTGCCTATGTGGTTTAGTGGGCGCACATAAAAATACTCAATTGTTTTGAGAAAAATTACTGGTTTGAATCACAGAATCATAGGGTTGGAAAGAACCTCAAGGGTCATCTGGTATTCCTCATTTTAACATGAAGGGACCACTCCCAAATTGGCAGAAACTTTCAGATCAGAAGTGTTTTCAGTGGTGATTGCATAGACGCACAAAATAAAGCTATATAGTATGGATATCTTGATATATGCGCTATAATGGATATTCACTACATATTCATGAATGGGATCTTTAGAGCTAAATGCATGATACGCTGCTGTTAGCTGAGCTACAACACTGTAGTTTATACTAGTCTGATCCAGGGAAAAAAAGTCTTTCTTGATCCAAAATCTGGCAAATGGCTTGATCTTGAGTGGGAAAACAAAGTAGCTTTTGAGGTTTCAAAACTCAGTAGCTGACAACTGGCTATGTAAGAGAGAGTGAGTCACTGTACCAATCAGAGGCGAGTCCTGACAACAAGTGATCAAACAGCAAATAAAAGGATGCCAGGCAATAGCAACTATTCAAATCACACATTAATTTATTTCTCAGAGCTCAGCTAAATATCTTATTAACAGGAAAGCCATAGAAATTTAGTCTGGGTACTGAATGTTCATAAAATAATAGACAGACATCTACAAAATCCTCTGTGTTAAACTGAAGGACACTAATATCAGTTCCTTGTGGCTACATCTACTAAGAGCTTCCGTGTGTAATAGCAAGGAAGAAGGCAAGGTAGATTTACACCTTATAAACTAAATAAATCAGAGATATATAGCATAAGCTTTCATAAGCAGTAGCTTGCTTAATCAGATGCTGTGAAGGGACTGCAGGAAGCAGAGCTTCTAAAAAGCAGTGATGGAAACGAAATGAAGGGAAGGGGGAGAGGGAAAGGGGGAACTGCTGGGAGACGCAAGGTGAGTAGGAGAGAGAAATGTAAAGCAGTTAACTCACTGAGAGATGCAGGTTAATAATACAGGTAATAGGATAAGAAGATGTAGCCCCTATTTAGACTATGCTAAGCACAATCCAGTCTGTGGATAATTTCTTGTTCCACACTTTCCTGTTCAAATTCATTTTTAAAGTTTCAGGGGTGTAGGTTGTAGCCGTGTTGGTCTAAGGACATAGGCAGACAAGGTTCTTTGGGTGAATCTGATATCTTTTATTAGCCCAACTTAACTTTAACTTTTAACTTGAAGTTGGTTTAATAAAAGATATCAGATTCACCCAAAGAACCTTGTCTTTTTAAAGTTTTGTTGTCTAAGGACTGCTACTCTGAGGTCAGCAATGGAAGTCCAGGAAGGCTAAAGTGTTGTGCCGCAGGCTTTTGTGTGTGTCTGAAATTCATGTCAGAACAGGGTTCATTCATTCTTACACATAGGGATCTCTCTGTCTGTCCAACATAGATAGCAAAGGGGCACTTGGAGCAGGTGCTGGCATACATGATATTGGTAGAGGAACAGGTGAATGAACCTCAAATATAGTCCACGTTATTTGGTCCAGTGTTGATGTGGTCTGTGCTGATGAGGCAGAGCTGGCATCTGGGTCTGAAGCAAGGTCTGGTGCCTTGATGAGAATAGGAGTTAGGTAACCCATTGCTGGAGAGATGCTGTGTGAGGCTGGGGGGCTGTCTGTAAATCAGGACAGGCTTATCCCTCATGACGACTTTGAGACAGCTGTCCATTTCCAGGAGAGGCTGAAGGTCATTAATGATGTCTCTAAGCTGTTCAAGCTTAGGGCTGTAGGTGAACAGAGAATAGAGAAACAGTTGCTCATAACACAGAATTCCAGCACTTGTGACTGGCCTGCTTCAACTTGAGAATCTCCTGTTTCATTTAACCTGTCACATTTTAGCAATAAACGCCATATATTTCTTTGTTTTCCTTTTAGCAAAGGTCCTCTCAGTTTCCAAATAGTGAAATATGTTTATCAGGCCTGAACCCTTTGTTCATTTTCTTCATCTATGTCTGGATCTGATTGATAGGGATTAGCGATCAGCCCCAAGTTCAGATGACCTCTGAACTTTGGGAAGGTTTCAGATCCATATTTGGATCAGAACTATCTGGAGATAGTCTCTGGTCAGTTTTTTCAGGCTCTATAACTATTCCTGGTTTTATCAGTCTTCAACTGAATTGACACATGCTAAGAAACACTTGCTGAGAAGGTTAGCTTATCAGTGGCAACCTGTCACGCATTCACATTTGCATAGCAGAGTCAGACTGCAGGCACTCCAGTTTGCCAAGACGATTTACGGTGGTCTCGGGCAGAGCTTGTGGCAGAAAGCCACCTGGTTTCTCCCCAAAAATCTCTGCCCTGTGACACTGTGATTTAAATCTCTGTGCTGTGACCATTCAATTAGGATGGGCCCAGCACACAGGGGACCACACCCTCAGCCTGTCTCTTTAGGGAACTGGAGCTGGCTGCATTCCTGAGGGAGGGGGGAAACCTGCTCCCTCTGCCTACGTGACTTGCATCACTTACCTGGGTAAGGGGTTTCTACCTGGGGAGCTGGGATCTGCCCGGTAACAGGTGATGCATTTCAGATTG